AGCTGCGGTCTAATATAGAGGCATGTCTCAAGGAATCTGTGAAATCCTTTGGCTACAAAAACTTCTTTGGGGACTTGGGTTTAAGCTGAAGGATACCATGAAGTTATATTGTGATAACAAGTCAGCAAAAGATATAACTAATAATCCAGTACAACATGATAGAACAAAGCATGTAGAGGTTGATCGACATTTTATCAAAGAGAAGCTTGAAAAGAAGATTGTATCAATATCGTTTGTGGATTCAGAGGAGCAACTTACGGATGTTCTTACTCATGTAGTGTGTAGTCGAAAGTTTGATGACCCACTTGTCAAGTTGGGCATGTGTGATATCTATGCACCAACTTGAGCGGGAGTGTAAACGTGAGTTATTAAAATAAGTATGTAAATATATTGTAAATATTAGGAGTCCTTTATTAGGAAAGATTTATAGTTGTGTCTTTATTGATTGTTGTTTCCATATAGAACAAGGATTGTATATGTATATATTTCAAGGAAGTAATACAATGAAAAATTATCCTGTAAAATTCTATTAACCCTACTTTCAATCATCCTATCAAACAGTCTAAGAATCTCATTTGGCTTTTCTAGATGCTTAAAAATGCAATGATACGTGATCACATCCGACACACAACCCAACTTCGGCATTTGATAAAGCCTCGAGAATGCCTCCTTACATCTCCCATTCTCACACAAAAGCTTTACAACTGTATTATACGTCCCAACATTGGGTTCGCACCCAATTCCTTCATCTCCCTCCAGAGTCGCTCTAAAAAATCAACACGGTCAGAGAGACCAATGGAACGAATAACTGTATTACACGTCACCACATCTAGTTTAATCCCCTTACTCTTCATCTCCTTATACAACTGCACAGCCTTCCACGGCTTTCCACTCTTGCACAATACATCCATAGAGAGAGATTGTGTTTTGCTAGGTTTGTTGGGTATGTTGATGTGTGTACTAGGCTAACTTTTAAATTTTTCTAATTTTTTAATATCCACAGGCTTTTGCAGCACTAAGTCATTGTCGACGTCAAGTCACATGTTAACTACTGTTTTAACTGAAAGTTTAACGGATGTATGAAAATGTCTAAGAATTATCACTTTAGGGCGCCACCAAGGGTAGAGCCAAGTACAAGGCTCCCCTAGGCTATAGCATAGGGAGAGTTTGGTTCTTCAAGCTTAAAAATATTAATTTTTAGGTTAGTTTATGATTTTTAATTATCATATTTCACATAAGAAATGAATTTTTTTATTAGTAAGCCTATTTTTAAGAATAATAAGAGCTAATAGATGTTAAATAAACTCATCACTTTAACCAATATTATATTTAATAGTAATAAATTAAAACTTCCATATCACAAATGGTTCCTTATTTTATTCACTTGAAAGCTTTGAAGGCTAGAAACCTAGAAAACACAACATAAAATTCTTGCTTCAAATTACTACATTCAAGTTTTTACTATTATATAACTTCATGTAGGCAACATAGGATTAAAAACTTGATTTCGTAATAATAATTTTAGCTTAACCCACCCACAAAATAATTTCTAGCTACGCCATTGGGCGCCACGTCACAAGTTAATGGCTGTTTTAACATAAAGCTTAACAGATATATGAAAGTTTCTCAGAATTATCACTCAAGGTATCATACTGGGGTGAAAAAACTTTATGTATGAAATGTTGAAAATCAATCAACTTAAGGCCATCTCCAACCGAAAAAGCTAAACATAGCCCCATCTAGAAGTATAGTCTTGCAAAATATTATTTTTAAATGAACAGTGTTAGACCATACTCATTACCATCTCCAACCGAAGGGGCTAAACATAGCCCTCTCAACAATTTATTAGTCTTAAGTTTATACTTTAAATTTATTAGTTAATTTAATTAAACTACCTTTGGATGTTGTCAAATCTAGCTATTGAATTTAAATCAATCATTGCACCTAAGAAGCTTGACCTTAAAAAAGGGTTAAGAGGGGGCTATATTTGGCCAACATGATGCCCCTTTAGCCAAATAATAGTCATGTGGGCTCCATAGAATTATAGCCCAGTCTTCGGTTGGATATGAATTTCTGGGCAATTCAGGTCATTTTTCGGCTTTTAGACAAATAACCCTCTCAATTGGAGATTGCCTAAAAGTAGTAAACTGAGAATTACCAAAAAAAAAAAAAGTGAAAGTGAAAACTAGGACAACTTTCACCCCAAAAAAGGAAGGATAATTTGTGGTAGACTCGCAAATGGTACTTTACCCAAGTAATGAAAATCAATTGCGGAGGTCGAAAGCATAGTGTATAACATTCAAGCTATTACAACTGATGTGGCGATTGTTTTGTTCGAGTTTGTTTGTTGAGAAGGCAACTGAGCAGCACATTTTGTTGCAACGTTTATTCAAAACTAGAGGTTCTGTTAGATGAGATTGCATTGGTCTTGAGTTTCTTTTAACATCTCGATTGAAGATGTAAACATTTCAATTAAAATTTAAAAAAGTCTATCTTTTGATAAAATAAAATAAAAGTAATGAAAATCAATTATTTATTACTAAACAATTAACCTACTAATGCTATCATTTGTGTAAAAAAAAATTAAAAAAAATTGTAATTTTGTCAATATTTTATGTTTTTAACCTTTTCTGAGAGTAAGGACAAAGGGTAAAAAACCTCTCTGAATTTCACGGCTCTCCTCACAACTTCACAAGAAATCACAACGTCAACGAACGAACGAACGAACGAACGAGGGAACCAAAACAAAAAAAGGCAGGAAATTCACCAACACGTACCAGAAGGAGCAAACACAAGAAATTCAAAAATTCACATGGCATCACTAGCAACCCATTTCTCCGCCTTCGTCCTCCTCTTTCCCATAGGCCTCCGCCGCTTCATGTGCTCCTCCTCCCTCTACCTCAAGAACCCATCTCTCTACCAATCCAAAGCATGGTACTGCTCAGAAACCAAATGGAGAAACTTCGATTTGTACTCTCTCACCATCGCCCTCCCCATCGCCTGCTTCTGTGAAATCTTCCTCTTTCTGGCCTTTTCCGGCCACCACCCCACCTACCGCTTCGCCTTCTTCCAGCAATCCGCCGCTATTTTCATGTTCTGGGCACTCGTACTTCTGATCATCTTCCGTGAAAACATCGACCCTTTGAATTTCAATGAAGGGTTCGTCTTTGCTTTCGCAGCGGTTTCGTTTTTCATTGAGTACTCTGTGATCGGCAAGGGAATTTCGGGTCTTGGTGGCGCTGTGTATGATATGCTAGGTGCATTGACTCTAATTTGTGCATTTTCTTGCCTGTATTTGTCGATTAGGCCCTGTTCGTATTTCGCCGAGTTTTTCTTGTCCTCTGGATTGGTTTTTAAGGGCACTTGGATTTTGCAACTGGGTTTATCCTTGTACACTGATGTATTTGGGTTAAAAGGGTGTAAGAAAATGTCGGTTTGGCCTAACCAGGACAGTGCTGAGTGGAAATGTGACCTTGAGGAGGACGCTTTGAGGGGTTTCGCTGTGATGAAGCTCTTGTTCATCGGGCATGCGATTGCGATCTTGGTATTGAGCTTTGTGTTGTTTGCTTTGTTGGCAAGTAACTGCAACTTGCAGGGTGGCGAGGCCAGTGGTCCATTGCTAGCGCAGCTGGAGCATGTATTGATTCATCCTGGACCTGAGATTGAACTGGAATGAAGTGTATGTTCTGCTTTTGTTAACTGTCAATTTTGGTACAAATTTTCAGATAAAATGGAGATTTTACTCATTTGTTCATTCTTTAACTTCAGTTTGTAGTGTTTTCCTCTTTTTTAATGGCATGCCGTCATTTGGTTTTTAGATTGTCTCCAGTTGAACTTAATTATTATATGGATAACTTCGTTTTTTCGGTGTATCAGTAATCTTCATAAAGAGTTTATGACTTTCACAAATTAACTGCTGCCTTAGCGATCGTTTCTTTTTTCTTTTATTGATGTTTCCACAACTCTAGTTTTGTTTTATTTTCTTTAATTTTAGAGCAAGCTGAATTATTTGGGACAACATGTTATCTGGCTTGTTAATCTGACTTACTGAGAATGATTATTTTGGATTATTCTAACTGCTATCATAAATAGCTAACATATCAGGTATGGAAATAACTTAATTTAGTTCGGTATATCCCATTGAAGAAGAAAACTTTGGCATTTTCAACCATCGTCAATGAAATTGCCCGAAACCATGAATTTTTATCTGCCAACGGATTCTCTTGATCTTCATGCTCAAGTCATCATATCTTCGTTGTAGGACTGCAGGTTTTGATATCTTGATCAGTTCTCTCATGTTCATGCATCCTGCATTTGCTTGAAAGCAAACAATGAGAGATTTGTAACCATTTAGAAAATTTTGAGTTGTTATTGGTCTGAATTAGTTCGGTTACAGAAGTTAATAAAAATAATGTAATAACCAGTCACTATGTCATTGTAAAGATTCTATTTTTGATAACTCTCTAGATTACTCCATTCCATGGATTTCATGGAAGCCGTCGTAAGAATTTTGTTTTTGTCTAATAAGATGAGAGCGGTAATGAAATTAGCTAAGTTCTTTTATATACTTATCGTTGGTGAGCTTGTGAAAGCATACAGGCTTAAAGCACACCTGGAACCTTGTGGCTTCCCTCTTCTTCTTCTTCGACTTCTTCTTCTTCTTCTTCTTCTTCTTCTTCTTCTTCTTCTTCTTCTTCTTCTGTGCTTCGCTTACCCAGGACTGGCAAGCATGTAAAGAATATTGGTTTTCTCGTTGTGTTGGGGTATTCTATTTAAAATGCCTTTTTATATGACAGAAGGGAACTAGATTGTATACTGGTAAACATCAGTCTTGAGTTGCTTTGGTATTTAAGGGTTTTACCTCAACTAGTCCTTCCAAACACTTTCTCATCCTTCTCTGAATAAAACTTCCGGTGCTCTGCTTGAACAAAGTTTTTAACTAAAGATGTAACCGTGAAATTCTTACAAATTTCTATAATAACGCAAGAATTTTCTCAACTAGGAAAAGTAGAAAACCCATAAAAAAATATGAAGATTTTGCCTTTACATGGTATATAACACAAATAGAAATTCAGTAAACTCCATACTGTCTTGTCTAATCTTTTCTATCGACATGACGTGAAGAAATCTCTGTAAATAAGTTGATACCAAATGTATTAAACTGAGTATACCTGATGTTTTATCTCGTATGTGGAAAATCAACCATAAGCTAAATAAGCAACTTAGTTACCGGAAAGTTTATAATCTGTAGTGATTAAGAGGAAAGTTTATACTTTTAGTACTTAGATTGGAGTCTAAGAAGATACCGAAAGAGACAAATCCTCTATATGTTCTCAAATCTTCGAAAGTTCCTCCTCTTAAATCTGGAGCTGGAATGGGTGATCAGCAACAAGGTGGCGCTTTCCTCCATTTTTCAGAACTTCCAACATCCATAAGTTCCTGTCTCCATTCCCCAGAAGGGAATCAAATAGAAAACCGAGAAAAAGAAAATATGAACCAAATCTTGCAAGGAATAGCAAGAAGAGTGATTTCATCAACAGTGCTAACAAGAAAATCTTTACTTAACTGTATCGGTCACAAACCTGAAAGAATGCTGTTACAATAATGACATCTATTTTGCCTTCGAAACGTATCGGGAATAATGCAATGACTTTCTGTGGCTGTCAAAACATGAATATTGTCATTGTACATTAGAAATATGCAGTAGATCAATCAGATCTCAGTTGAATCAGCACTTTTCTTGATTTTGCTAATGATTTCATTGTGGAAATTATCTGTCTAATAATAAAGAAAGGCTCTTTTGGGTGATATTCAAGTTTGAGTGGCTTATACATTCCTTGGGATGTATCTTGAGAGTTGACATTCGTCAACATTTCTTTCAGCTGGGAACTTACCATTACTGCCTGCACGGCAGCAATCTCTGCAATTACCTTCGCAGAATCTAGAGAAAGAACAAAAATAAACGCATGAATACATTGTTAGCATCAACGGTACAGCAAGAAAACTTCGTTATACAGTCATACTGGTTAAATATATGACATAGCTGCCTTCCAATATACTTGTCAGACTTGTTTTGAGACTTTCCCCTTGGCTCGTGGTGTGTTGCCATGTTGACACGTTCTGTCATCTTTATTTAATGCCTGGTTTTAGGGATTGGAGGAAGAAGAAGCTTGGAATTCAAGAAAGCATTGTTAGTGTAAGTGGTTACAGAATTTCATTATTTTGTTTATTTTGTTCTTTTGCTATCAAGGTGAGCATTGATCTGTACAAACTGAAATTCGCAATCATCTCGGTGTGATTCATATATATTATTTATTGGGATGATGTGAACAATTATCAAACCTTTTCCATTTGAAATTTTAGAAAAATCAAGTCTTAAAGTAAGGTGGTATCCTTCTTTTGCAGGTTCAATGATCTCCACAATGTCAGGACGAATTCCCTTTACCATCTGTTTAGTATTATGCGAAATCCCATATGGAAGCATGACTCCCTGGGAAAGGAGCGGGATTGACACTGACGAGTAGATATAATGTGTATCTGATGCTGAAGACTGTTTTATTACACAAAAATCATCAGAAAATATACCAAAATACCTGCTTGGAAACCCATATAAGATGAGGTATTTGTCACTCACAAGTCACAACATATTACTTTCTTCATATATTGAGTAAAGAACAGGTTAAATTCCTAGATTCTAGAATGCTAATATTGCGAAAGGAAGCAAAAAATGAACACTGAACATAGAGATCAATTAGAATATTTCGAATTCAGTTTGCGCGTACTGAGGACTCACCTGGATATGGTATTCCACGGACCCAAATTCGTACAAGTGATGATCAATCTCTATGGACTTGTTGTCACTGTTATGAAAGCAACAATACTAATATCTGAATGAGTATTAGTTTGCGTACAGCTCCAATGTTTCACTATATTGGTTACCAAGTGGATTGATGAAAACCGAAGACTATGTAAGCTTTAGAAATTGTATATCATCTGATATGACCATTTTTCTTCCCATATTTGTTGATATAAATTTTCCTTCTGTTTACAGTTGTGGAGGGTCAACGATTCTGCAACTGTCTGCCAAAGGTTTCGTTAGGCGCTGATTACGATGGATGGAGCTGCTGTTGTTTTCTGCTAGTTCAGCAAATAAAGTGGGAAGCGCAAAAAGTTAACTGTTTTGAACACTTTTCATGCATCCAAACATGAAACAGTCTTCTGCTTTAGATTTTCAACTCAAAATTTCAGTGTGCATATCGCAACACAGCTGTTAATTAACTCTATAACATTTAAGGTAAAAAATTTGTTACAGTACGTATCTCGATTAGGTAATGTAAGCATGACAACTCAAAAGTACTTACCAGTGTCGTTTGAGCAGGATTCCCTTCAAGGCTGGCGATGCCCTCTCCAAGCACGCCCATCCTGACTCCTGAAAACTTTTTACCCGTCACCTCTCCTCCTAATTTCAAATGGGTGGTGGGATGTAAATACACACAATGTCACAGCCAACAACTTTGTGAAGTTGGAGTAAAATTTAAGTTCAAAGTTGCACTCAAGTTTTCCAACATCTGAAGCAACTGCACACACACTCTCTCTCTCTCTCTCTCTCTCACTGCTGCCAACTTCGTGAGGGAAAAAACACGCAGTAAAAGTAATTGTCCGTCAGTTGCTCATTTCTTGGTAGAGTTTGTTGTATTAGTACCTTTGCATCCGAGTTAATGAAATATCTTCTATGCTAAATCCTCGATGCAATCCTCATCGTCTCATGAAACTTCGTTGTGGAGTGAACATAGAATGATTTGTGCCATAGTAGGTTATTCATGGTGTATAATTGAAAGTTATTTGTATATCTTCTACTCTCAATCGTCCACGCATCTGAACAAGTTTAGATTATTGAACAACGCTAAATCCATATACAATGATTGCTAAGTTGAATATACACATGGGTTGTGGTTGGCTATTGAGTATTTGACCATCTGATGGGAATTAAGATTCTCTCCCCTCCTCTTTCCATCCCCTTCCATCCTCTCCTCTCACATTTTCTTATTTTGTCTTTCTCTTGCTATAAAAAAATTAATATAAGATGTTGACGTGGCTTAATCGTAATCGTTCAAATAAGAGATGAGCGAATGAGAGTGAAAAAAAAGAAGAAGAGAATCCTACTCCATGAGAGATCCAATTTAAAGCCATGCGGCCAATCCCATCAGTTCTTGATATTGAGTTTTTGGCCCCACCACTATTTGGAAAAGACTTATTCATACACTCACTCTACCAAGCGCCAAATACAAATTTACAAATCAAAACATAAGTTTATCTTATATATAAAGCCAACACAAAACAGTGATTTTGGTGTCACCAAGTTTCAACAAAAATACCCCCAAGGCAGAAAACTTCAAGGGCATCTCAAAATAATGCATCAAATAAGGCAGGGTAGGGTCATTTTCGTCTCTTTAACATTGTTTTTTTTTTTTTGTGCTTTTTTTTTAATTAGTACCTCACAATAGGCTAATAATAATGTGATTCAATTTCTCTATTTGTAAATACGTTTAAAACATCTTAAGAGACGTGTAATACCGGTTATAAAAAAAAGTCTTTCACAAACAAATACTAATGTGATTAAATTAGTTGTCAAATGATTGTTTTTTTTAACAAACGAAATTATCTACACTAAGGGGGAGGGGGTGGGCTTAGCTTCACAATGGGCTAGTAATAATGTGATTTAATTAGTTGTTCATTCAATGTTATTTTCTCTATTTTTAACATGTTCAAAACATCTTAAGAGTGCGTGTAATGACGATTATAGAAAAGATTTTTTGTACGCAGATAATAATGTGATTAAATTATTTGTCAAATGATTGTTTTATTTATTTATTTTTTATTTTTTTAACAAATGATATTATCAACACTAAGGGGGAGGGGGTGGGCTTAGCCTCACAATTGACTAGTAATAATGTAATTCAATCAATTGTTTATAAAATATTATTTTCTCTATTCTTATTGTAAATTCTATAGAGACCGATTTTATAATGTGAATTTAGCTTCTTAAATTAGTTTATGAGAGATTTCTTCTAGCATGATCTAAGATTATTCATTTACTTCAAATATTTGACTTTTCCTTTGTCAATTTACGCATATAAATACATTTAAAATGTGTAAATCGCGCGTAGCATGTTGTGATTCAAAAAATACCTTCTGCACGCCTGTGAGCACGTGCATGAAGGCTGGTATATATTAACTAGATATTAGTTTAATAGTACTTCTTGTCAATGCTTGAAAATGGTTTCCAATCTCTCACACTTCACGAACAAATGTGTTTCCACTATTCCTGAATTGAAGAAGAAATTGGGAAAGACAGTTTTGTTTTCAGGGTTTTGACTTTCTTCAATTGGATGAACATTCAAGAACTTTCAATGAAAGTACCAATTTGTGAGAGCAAATTTCAGTCTTTGATTGAATTGACATAAACCTACACACACACACACATACACAAAAGAGACAAAGGGAGTTCGACTAACACTAGTGTGGTGTTCGTCTAACTCTGTTCTAACACCAGTGTCGTGTTAACCGAAGGGCATCTGATGCCTAAGTCTGAAAGACTGTAGAAAGTAATAAGAGTGTAGTGAGTGTTCTTTATTACCGGAATACAATGGTTGGCCTGACTATTTATGGAGAACTGAGAAATTAACCTTAGTGCCCAGGTTTGTTAAACCTATTAGTCGAGTGTTACTTAGTTTACACTTTGGGCGTGGTACAAAGAAGAGAGAGTTGTATTGTATCGATGATGTGGCATCAAGGCATGTCAGTCAAGTCCGTTGTGGTGACAGTAACAAGATCAAGACAATTTGGTTATGGCATTGTCGATTGGAACATAAGGAAGTTACTTTTGTCATTATTCAATAATGTTTCAGACTCTAGTCTTAAACTAGAAAATTTTAATTATTTTGTACACACATAAACACACACATATTCAAACACATAGAAATCAAAATGGAAACTACAGAGCGAGAGCAATGTCTAAATTTATACAATTTATAGAAAGAACATTATCAAATGTCTTGCTATTTACATACAAAAATGGTTAGCCTGCTATTCCCCATTAGCAAATATCCTAGTTTTTCTTTAACACTGCCACTTGCAGATAAAACATTTCAAAAGATGAGATTGTTTATATACACAAAAAAAATGGGGAATTGATGTTACGATGGGCTATTCACACGCAAAAAATAAAAATAAAAATAAAAATAAAAATGAAGGAACACTATTCTTGTTTATACAATGGATGAAAATATTGTTCAGTACAGCACCAAATGTTTTTTTCTTGGAGCAACGACTGTAGACAACAGAGTTTGTGTTATTGGAAAAAAAAAAAAAGGGAATGTTAAGAGATATGGAATAAGTTTTGTATATGAATGGATTTACACTGCTGAAAAAATAATAATACAGTAAAACTACCTAGTTTTTCTTCTGGAGAGGAGGGTCTGTTTTTGAGCTAGTCGAGGAGGATTTTTTTCTTCAGCAGCTTGATTGGAACCTGGTCAAAATCTTGCATATCTGCTTTATAAATTTATTCTCCCTCATTACTTTAAACACATTAAAAACAATAAACAATGAAATTTAGATTGGATTGAGAGTAATTTGATAGGTGAATAAAAACATTGTTACGTAGAATACAACCTTTTTTCAGCTGTTGTGAAATGAGCTTTCCTGATAGATTATCTTTTTCTTTTGTGCGATTCTCCAGTTGTTTCAGAAGGAGTAGTGGAAGACGAAACTGTTGTAGAGAAGATTGTGATTTCTCGGCTAATTGACTGCGGAGTTGCTTGCTGGATCATTGTGTCTTCAGAAACGTTATAGATCAAGAAATCATTTGAAATCAATGAATTTCTTTTGCTTCCAAATCGGAGGTGAAAAAATCTTTCTCTAGCCTATGAGTCTAAGAAACTCACTCAGCAACTACGTTTGATCCACCGATCTTTGATTGAAGACTAAATCCTTACAGGTTGTCCCGAACACTTTTTCCCTTGATTTGCCAATAATAAAAGCGTTGATCTCATTTGTTTCATCTTCAATGACTAAAAACACTTTGTACCTTCCTTTAAAAACAAAATGTACATATTAGAAAGTATAAATTGTTTAATGAGTTTAAAACTGGATCTATATAAATTTTTCTATGTTGCAATTTAATTTAACACAAAGCACATGATAAACAAAAGGGTAGCTGCATAAAATTGGTTTTCAAAATTGAATGAATCTGTGGTCAGTTTTGTGGTTGCATGACTAAATGCAATGATTTTATTGCACTTACAATTTGATGTTTGGTTGACTAAATTTTGATAGTATTTTCGTAACCAACCAGTGATCATCAGTTAAAAGGGATTAAGTTAAAGGTGTAAAAATTAAATAAGCAGTAAATGTTAATGCAAGAATGACACGAGGGAACAATTAATTAGTGGAATTGAAATATACCGTTTAAGTTATTACCAAGGAGTTGGAATTTGATTTGGATGTTTTTGGCAAATTAGTTGACCGCTTGTTGGATCCTTGTATATTTGTTTGGCACATGTATGGCAAGTAGTGTACGACCATTCATACCTCGTGTTAAACTGCTTGATCGATGCTTTGCACAAAAACATGTCATCCTGTAAATATTTAGAAAACTATTTATATATGTGATAATTATTAAAGAAATAGCTTTTGTTAAAGACGCAAAAATCGAATAAGATGGCTTTGATTCAATATGACAACTTGTATATACCTTATATAAATCTGGATCCAAATAACCTAGTTCCTCGATCTTCACTCTCTTTCCAGTTTGTAAAATATCAGTCTCATTCGCCTGATTGGAATGAGGGAGTGTTCAAATCGGGTGAGGCCAGTTGGAAAATATGCAATAGTTTAGATTGAATATTAGCTAAATAGGTGTATACAAATAACTGTTTTTGTTTAACCGTGCTAACCATGTTATGATTTCGATTTTATTGTAATGAATGGAGTTACACTGATTTGTACGAATTTAAATTTGGAGTGTCTGAATCAATGAAAAAAAGTGTTGATCCAGTTCTGTTCAAGATAATGTTGTCCATAGAATAAATAAATAAAAATAGTAAAACAGAAATAGAACGTATACACTGCAAGCAGTTTTATATGTATTTGAAAACAAACTGTAAATTTAATTTTACAGAGGTTAAGGATTTTGTAGTTAAGTGTTTTGTGTACAGTCTTAATATTTTGCGAGATAACAAATCATGGTTTACTAAAAAAATAGTAGCACAAAAATTAATTTTCTTAAAATTAATGCAGCTTGTCCAAGGTGTCTATTGTGAGAATGCACTGTTAACAGACTGTTAGACATTCCTGGAAATTTTTTATTTGGTAGAGATTATATCATAGAAAGTAATTTTTTAACCATTGATAAAAACTCTTAAATGTGGCATCCCACATCGCCTAAGGGAGTGATCCTTATATGTATATTCCCATCCCTACCTAGCACGAGGCCTTTTGAGAGCTCACTAGCTTCGGGTTCCAATGGAACTCCGAAGTTAAGCGAGTAGCGCGCGAGAGCAATCCCATGATGGGTGACCCACTGGGAAGCTCTCGTGGGAGTTCCCAGAAACAAAACGGTGAGGGTGTGATGGGGGTCCAAAGCGAACAATATCGTGCTACAGTGGAGTCGGGTCCGGGAAGTGGTCCTGCCCGTGTGCAGGATTTGATATGAATTGATATAATGTGTGATTAGTTATGAGCTATAGTTTCAGCTGTGTTTGATCACATGGTTGACATGTTATTATTTATGATGAGTTATAATCAACCGTACAGGCCACTGAGGTGGATCTGGCTTCTGTGATTTGATTTGAGATGCATCACCTATTATTACCTTTCTGTCATATTCGAAGTATGAACATGGCATACACTTAGTGGTATATTGATAGCATGACTTGAGATATGATTTATGATGAGTATATATGTATATATGTTATTTTTCTGGGAAATTATACAAGTTTTACGGCGAGGGGTTAAAACCTTTGAAAAGAGAAAAGGTTTTGAAAAGTTTTGTTTTTGCCCACTCATGCGTTTTGTTTTTATTGTGGCATCCCACATCGCCCAAGGGAGTGATCCTTATATGTATATTCTCATCCCTACCTAGCACGAGGTTTTTTGGGAGCTCACTGACTTTGGGTTCCATTGAAACTCCGAAATTAAGTGAGTAGCGCACGAGAGCAATCCCATGATGGGTGACCCACTGGGAAGTTGCTCGTGAGCTTCCAAAAACAAAACCGTGAGGACGTGATCGGGGCCCAAAGTGGACAATATTGTGCTACGGTGATAGGCAGGCCCGGGAAGTGGTCCGACCTAGGCCGGGATGTGACACTTAAGGATCATGACATTTGCGAGAAAAAGTGGATAAAAGCTGAGAGAAAAACAATAACATTTAGATCTCATCTTATAATTAGTACATAGCACAATTCTTTGCAGAACAATTGATTCAACAGCAGATAAATATTAAAATTAAGCTGTAAAAACAATCATGACAAACATAATTAATTAGAATAGAGACATCAAGCCAGAAAAAACTACTAAGTTAGAGATGGACTGATTTTTAAAAACAAAGTTAAAACAAAAGCAATGGATATCATACATAAACAATACTGTGCACTAACGCACTATCATAACATAAGAATTTTTTTTTTTTTTTTATGCACCAAATTTTTTTAGCTATTTAGGTAGAGTATATTTTAAGCTATTCTGAAAAACAATTTAACACCAAATAAAATTATCCAATACTGTGTTGCACGGAGAAAAAACCAAATTAAAGCTAATCAAACCAAATTATCCAATACAAAACGAATAAATTTTTTTATTAAACTAAATACCTGCAAATAGCTTGACCCTCAAGCTTGTAAAAACTGCAACGATTGGTTGGGGCAATGCTTCCAGTGAGACAAGAGAAAAACTGTGTACAATGTCTAACCATAGCGTAAGCTTAGCTTCTTCTTTTCTGTGAAATAACACGATTAACAATAAAAATTAAAAACTAATTAAAAGTGTATATAAGTTCTTATTTAAAATGTGTGAAATTACTTTTAAGAGAAGTATATAAGTGTTCAATGATAGACAACAACAAAACAACATTTTGGGTATCTACAATACAAGCATAATTAACAATTAAAACAATTTATAATTTTATTATACAAAATAAATAACCTGATATTTTGCATGAGTACATTTGCGATCAATTCTTTGATTAATTTTTACTGAAAATATGATTTTAGCCCTGAAACTCAAGTTTTTTTAACATAAAACCCGACATAGTCTTTTTACTTGAATAAAACCCAATGACTAGGCACCACATAAGCAAATTCATTAATTATGTTTGACTTTACACATTTTACATTTTCCAGATGCCTAAAATACCCCTAATTACAATTTTAATGTATACATTTAATTCTATGCATATTTGAAGGGAAGGATTAATGAAAAAATGTATTAATGTTTAAATTCATGCGTATTAATATATTATAACAAAATTTTATGTTAATGCTTCTGGAAAAAAATAAAATAAATAAATAAATAAACATTAATGTTATACTTTCCTTCAAATTTTGTAATTATTTTCCAAATTTGCATAAAATTAGACAATTTTAATTTAATCTTACCATTTTCTTACCAAATGGAAATTGAAAGGGAACTATGGAGTAATTTACATAAAAACATAGGTAAATTATTTGGACATATGTGTTAGTAATAAAATATTCCCAGTATGCAAAATAATTTAACTACAAAATAAAAAATTGTTATTTGATTTAATATTAATTTATCTACATTTGATATAATAAAATATAATTGTGCATATATATTACTAAAATGTGCCCAATATATGTAATAATGCATGTAAAATTATTTACGTACAAAATAAAGGTATGTAAGTTGATTAAAAAATAATATATCTACTACTTTTTGTTTATGAATTTTAATTTACCTATTGTGTGTTTTTTTTTATTTTGTTCTTTTTCTACAAACATAATGTACCTACAATATATAATTCCTACTAAAACTAATATACATTTGCACATAGTAAAATGTGCCCGGTATATGTAACAATGCTTTAAAAAAAAATTTACCTACAAAATAAAGGAATGTAATTTGATTGAAAAGATAATATATCTACTACTTTTTGTTTATGAATTTTCAATTTCCTTTTTTTTTTCGAAACATAATGTACCTACAATATAATTTACCTATTGTTTAATTCTTATAAGTAAATAATGTACTTATAATTTACCTATTATTTAATTCTTATAAAAAAATTAATTTACTTATACTTACATATAAATATAGATAAATTATTTTTGACACGCATATATAATAACAAATCAAAATGGCTAGTGTATGTAATAATCTGTGTAAAATAATTTACCTACAAAATAAAAGAATATTAATTGATTCTTGTTTTTTTATCAATCAATATTATTTGATGCAAAATAATTGATTATATAAAGGATCCTTTTTTTCATATGAAAAATGTGCCTATAATTGTTTATGAATATGGGTAAATTAATATATATATATATATATATATATATTAATAATATTTATGAAACAAAAAAGGTAAAATTTCCATATGGGGTTAATTGCTAATCATAATTAGGGTGAGTAATAATATTTATTAATATAATTAGGGTTTTGTGGCATAAGTTGTAAATATGTTGTAATAATTGGTTATGTACTTATCTAGGTGGTAGTCTATTTCAAATTTGGGTTTTATTTGAATGTTTAATATTAGTTGGGTTTTTGTTTGAAAAATAAGAGTTTCAAGGGTCTTTCTCTAAAGAACCCTAATTTTTATGGGCTCCAAATGCTGGACTGCAACTATGTGACCAATAACACCTTCAAATTTGAAAGAAAAAAAAAGAAGAAGATAACTAAGTCATGAGAAAATCTTTTATAAAACAGGTAGCAATATATCTTAGTATACATATACATCCACATACATACACTATTATCTGTAAGGAGATCAAGCTTGTTAAGTCGGGGATACAGCCTATTATAGTCCTGCAAGAAGAATCTATGGCACAGAATGGCAGAAAAACACTTGCCAACTTGTTAAAAACTGTTTTAGAAGTAAACATAATGTGTGTGTTATGTGGCACCACTCTATACTAACCCCTTATTTTGTTAGTGGCGAAATTCATAATTTCTTAGCAACTTCCTGCTTCAATTTTTGGCAATATTATCTCATAATTCATCTCATTAGAAGATGCTTCAATTGCTTGTTGCTTGATAATTCAACATGGGAAAAGGCAAGAAAACGAATTGTTAAATATAGAATGAATAAGTAAATCATGCTTAATTTTGCACTTGAAATAACATGGAAACAATCGTAGATGACAAACGTTAAACAAAAATGTCCGAAGTAAACAGCAACAGTGAAATTATAACTATAATTAACACTTTAAAGGAATTGGATACGCAGAAAAAAAAAATATATGTGTTGTTCAGAGCCAGTATGAGAATTTACTTGACAACAGAAATCAGTGAATGGAAACACTGAAAATACATTGCATAAACTTTTTATCTCAGAAAGCAGAAAATATTATATCATATGTATTAAAAACCAAATAAAAAATTGTTAACAGACAATATCAAATATGCATGAATTAATATCATCAAAGAATGACTGTTCATCTTTTCATCGACCAGTATATAATGCAGTCCTGCATATTTATCGCCTAAGCCCAGATATCTTGGTCTCCATATTCTACACACACATTTTAATTTTCACAACCTTTTTATACGGTATCAATCAATCAAGAGGAGTTGGACCTTTGTCTTCCATTTTAGCGAATCAAACCAAACAAATTTTTTGTAAATTTAGAAATAATCTATACAGAAACCTTGAAACACTAACCACATCATAATATTAATTTTTACATCTGTCATAAATGTAAAGAAAAAAAATTATAATTCAGTTTACACTGATACTGGTTAAAAAATAATTATCATGAAATGAAAAACATAGATACAAAGGGTGTTTAACAATTAAAATATTGCCATGTAAAAGACTGTCAACATCATTTCATCAAATAACAACATAAGTTAAAAAAGAAACTGAATGACTGAATAAATTATTAAAAAAAAAAAAAAAAAAAACCCTCAAAATACAGTCAACTCAATAAAATGTGTACAAAAATTGCTAGAGAGATTGACAAAGCAAACAGAAAAGTAGATAGACTCAATAAAATCCAAGAACACTAACAATCTGAGGCTACAAATTCTCACCCAGGTTTCCTTTGTAATGCCTAAACAACAATACAAACACAAAGAATTAAACTTTACAATACACACTGATATATATTAAAATGTTGCATGGCAAAAAACTCCAAAATACAGTGAACAGAATAAAAAGTTAAAAAAATTGGCAGAGAGATTGACAGAGCAAAGAAAAAAATAGATGCGCTCAATAAAATCCAAGAACATTACAGTCCGCAAAAGGCATCCAACAGTAACACTCTCAAGCTACAAATTCCAGCCTAGGTTTCTTCTTTAACACCCAAACAGAGATACAAACAAAAATAAATAAACTTCACGATATACACTGATATATATTATAACATTGCATAACACCACTTAATTCTGATCGACCAAATTGAAATATAATTACTTATCAGTTTTATAAACTCTAATTATATAAAGTCTACATCGCACCAAATGAGATTAACAATTCTAATACACCAAAAGAAAGATCAATTCAATAGTATCAGTAAATGTATATATTGACAGCTCAATCTAATTCAAACCGTAATTTTCATATTTAAATTAAAGGACTAAACTGCAACAACAAATTAAAACTCAAAACAAGAAAAACAAATCAATTTCAAATGTTTTATTATTATTATTATTATTATCATCATCATCATCAATTTAACAATATGGAAATCCTTCGTCAATTTAATAATATGAAAACGTTGCATACAACTTGTTGAAAAGAAGATAATCTTTCCTTTTCAACAAACACCTCAAGCCATGAATAACCGTGGTATCCAATGTTTACATTCATTACACAGAGCACTTGAAAATATGAAGAATTCCAGTCAACACTGGTGAGAATGCAATAGACCCTTTTTTTTTTTTTTTTTCTTAATCATTTTAATAACATAGAAATCCTTTATCGATTTAATGATATTCAAAACACTGCATATAATTTATTGAAAAGAAGCTCAATGTTTCCTTTTCGCCAAACACCTGATGCCGTGAGCAATTGTGGCATCGAAGCAGTACATTAATTACATAAAGACTTGAAAAAACCAAGAATGGCAGTCAACACCAGTCAGAATCTAATAGACTTAAATTAAGTGCACACCACACCAAATCACATTGATAACCATCATATACTAAAAGAAAAATCAATTGAACACTGCGAGGAAGGCGTCAACTACATTGCCATTCACATGCACTGCCAATAACTATATACAAATTGCTACATTCATTATATAGAGCAGTTGAGAAAACCAAAAATGGCAGGCAACAGCAGTCGGAATGTAATAAACTTAAATTAAACCAAGACCGCACTAAATCACATTGATAACCATCATATGCTACAAGATAGATTAACTGAACACTGTGAGCAAGGCATGAACTACATCGCCATTCATACACACTGCCAATAATTATATACAAATGATTAATCACAAAAAAAGCAAACAACAACTTTTTCTAAAAACCAGAAAAATATCACAATTACGACTGAGAATACCAGGAAACATAAGATTATATAAGACTTAATAATCTGTAATGCATCAAAATTAAAAATCCATGAATAGATCGATGCTTAGATCTTAGACAAATTTTTCATTCAACCTAAAATAGAAAAGAGCTAGGATGCATGGACACGGACACGGATACGGCGATACGACACGATACGACACGGGGACACGTCAAATTTCTAAAAATGAAGACACGATACGTCAAAGATACGGCAATTAAAAATATATATAAATAAATAAATATATCTAAAATATTATAAAATAAACATTCAAATTTATTACTCAAGTTTAAATTTATTTCAATAAACTCCTAACAGTTAGAAAGATAGTCCATCCAACAAGCAATTAGTCTTCAAACTTGAAAAATTAAAATGAAAATCCAAACGAAAATTAAAAAAAGCAAAGTCTCATTCAACTTCCACATTCATGATGTCTCCTCCAGTAACTAAAGTAGTCTCCAATGACGGTTCATCAAGTGAAAGGTTAGCTAT